ATATATGCATATATATATATATATATATATATATATATATAAATATATAGATCGATATTCAAGTTCACATCTCACAAGGATGGATACATGCTTGCTGAAAGAGAATTGATCCTTGTGCAAGCAACGACTAGTGTGTCCGAGAAACATACTCCTGAATATAAAATTTAAACGTGTTTGAAAAAGAAATGCATGTTTTCTTTTATCAAGAAATACAGTTTTTTTTCATTTATCTGCTCTATGTCTTGGGTTTAGACATATTCGTAACCTATTCTCCTTTTGAACAGACCCAACGCGGTCAACATGCGCAAAAAGCTGCATGTGGATCAACATTCCCCAATCCCCCGCGTGAAATCGGTAGAATAATGAAAATGTATAAAACAACAGAACAGCCGGTGTCGTCCTTCCCAAGTTTCAATCTGAATCCCCCACATTAGAGACTGTTTTGTATACACGATTATTCCCTTTTACTTTAACTGTTGTTTCTTGACATTCGTCCGTATATCCACACATACATATATATAGATATTGATGAATCGATATGGAAATAGATAAAAATAGATAGATAAGTATATAGAGCGAGAGAAATATCCGTCCCCGCGCGCGCGTTAAAACGGCAACCCCACAATTGTCAACCCCGTTGCCGCCAACATCTTCACCAAGGTCACGACACTGCCGCGGTAGAACCCCCGAAGGCCCTCTTTTTTCGCGATTCGCCGCACACAGCTCATCGCGGAGGCGTAGCGAAGCCGCTCGGAGGTCACGGCAATCATCAAACGATGGCGAACGAGATCGATCGGGTGCAAACAAACCGTCGCGACCCCCGCCACCCCAATCCCGGCGGTGGTTTGCGCGAAAATCGGCCACCACCGGCCGTCCTCCGGCGGGACGCAGGTCATCATCACCCCGATCAAGACGTTGTACACACAGCGGTATAGAAAATTCGCCAACACAAACAACGTCAGGCCGCGGTACAAATACGGGGTGAATTCGCTCAAGACGGGGTGGGAAAAGAAGGCCAGGCTGTGTTTGAAGGCGTAGGCGGCGTCCTTGTCGAATTTCACATCCACGGCAAGCCGAAACCGCGCGAAGTCGAGGGGGTAGCTAATTAAACAAGTCGCAAAAGAACCCCCGAGAAGAGCCGCGTAGGACGCGGCCGTACAGCAAAGCGCGGAATGCAAAGGAAAGCTCTCGAAAATGTACCGCTCTACCGGAATGGTGATAATTAGCTGGGAGATGATAATCGGACAGATCGAAACCACCTGGATGAGATTCCCGCGCCAGAAGCTTCGATTGCCCTCGATCACCGAGAGGTAGCGCGCGCAGTCCCAGGCGCTGTGGAACTCCCGGGCCAGCGTCCCGTGGCGAATCAACTCTTTTTGCGTTTGCATGATAAATTTAACCCGATCCAGCGGGGCCAAAAGGGTCCGACTCGTCCCAATTAATAAACACATTCGTTGAATATAATCAATCGAGATGTACGTGTTGTAGGACGACCCCCGCGCCCCATTGAACCCCGCATTCGTCTTGGTCTCCATCGTCGTTTCGGATGGGGATGACATAACCAGCGGAGCCGCGGAGCTTCCCGATTTCACGCGTGTGGTAGTGGCCGACATGTCGCTAATGAAGCCCTTCCCAAGCACCTTCCCCTCCCCAAGTACCCTTAATATTGGATTTTATTGGATTGTTTAACGTCTACGGGGTTCAGCCTGTCAAAAAGTTGCGGCGTTAGGGAGGGGGGATACTTTTCTAGAAATGTAAAGAAGAGTTAAGGATGGGTTTTTTTTTTTTAAGCGCAAGGACAGAGTACGATACGGTTTGTCTTTTGCAGCTCAAACTGCAGTTACCCTCCTCCCCTTTCTATTGAAAAATTCTCAACGTTACACTCTATATACTAAGCCAAATATCTGTGGAAAAGAAAAAAAATGAAAAAGCCTGTAGCGGTTTGTATGGCTCTTGGTGCAATCCCTTCTTGTTCCCCTTATGTGCACTGTGTATATTAATTCTGCCGAAAGAATAAACTATTTCCCTTCTCAAAATAAAAAATAAGTGCCGGATTATATACACGTATATATATATAACGATAGGAACCTTTCCCCTTACTAATCTCACAGGTGCAAAAATGGATAAGAAAAAAAGGAAAAATAATAGAAAGCGTACTATTGAATGAGTTTTTGTGCTTTGGCTACATCATGATTCATTAAAAAGAGAATTGTACATCCAATAGCAGTGTTCAAGCACACAATGTGGACATTAGGCACAAGTGCTCAAATCTAGTGTACTTATTTCGTTCGCGCGCAAAGGTATAGGCAAAATGCCTAAAAATGAAGAATCTAAAAAAGAAAAGGGGTTCCAAAAGCTTCAAAGTGCAAAGGAAAATAAACATATACCCTTCAAGAAAAAAAGTTAAATGTTAATGAAAGGAAATATGACAAGATTATCCACACCAGACCACATACAGGCATGTTTGTATTACTCGCCCTAACGACCAAAATGAACTGTTGTGTTATAAAGCTTTTAAACAAAAATGAATATGGTAAAAAAAATGTGGTAGTCAAAGAGTAACAACAAGCTGTATGTATATATTTATTTATAGATAGATAGATATATCACATACATCAGCTGCTCTCTTTCTTCAAGCTACTTTTACCTCTTGAAAGAATTATTTGTCTCATATTATTAAGGTTTCTTTTTTTTACCTATGAAATGAAATTTCAATGGCAAATACAAACCATTCTGAACAATATGTGAGAGAAAATTACTGATGCAAATTATTTTTGTTTCTCTTACGCTTCATATAAATTGAAACGAACACCAATCCCAACATGACAAAGACTAAAAATCCCAAAAGCACTAGGAAGCATTTATCAACTGAAAGTTGTCTATAAAACCAACGCAAGTCCCGCGAAGCACGGTTCAACGGCCCATTAATATCACGTAGCTCTTCATCAACTTGGTACATTTGTAAAGTTTGTTTTTGCAATGTATGCATAACGCCTCTTCCGGTTTCCTCCGTCTGATGTTGAAGCTGCTCAGAACGTTGGATGGACTCTAAAGCATCCTTCTGAATGTTCAAAGCTGTCTTTAACACACTTTTAGAGCTCGTGAAACCACTACCATCTGGTCCACCTTCCCCCAACAACTCTTCCTCGCGCTGTTCTTGGAATGTTTTGGGACGCGAAGCAGTCCGAGTGGGAAAAATCTGCTCTCGCATTTCCTTCTCACAATTTCTCACCCTTTCTTCACGAATTCGACACATCGCTTCACAATTCGAGCGAGCTTGCTCGTCGTCACTTCGCCGGGCCTCCGCCCTCAGAGCTGATAACAAACTACGAGCCTCTCGAACGAAGGGGCGTGCGATCATCTCCTGCTTTTTCTTCTCCGGTAAGGTTTCCGCCTCAATAACACCTCGCGCACAGTTATGGAGGTTGTTCAGAGTGGCATCGAGTTCATTGAAAAGGTCTTGGCATAAATCCATAGTGCAAATTGAAAAGTGAAGGCGCTGTCTTTCTCTCCTGTCGGGATACGTTTCTTGCGATGGAATATATAGATTGCAACACAAAGGTTGATTATTAACACAATAAGTGATTAGAGGAAAACTTGATAAGATGCGGTAAATGATCTCTAGAACTAAGACCTATGCAGCCCCCTAAAAGGTGTTTGATATATATCGCAAATACCCTACCCTCTTACCACCACCTAAGCGTCCTAGGCTATTCTGATATAGTGTATCATAATAGAAAAGGGATAAAAATAAGCGTATAAGGTGTAACACATGAAAATAGAAGCAATAAATAACTTAGAAACTAAAACCCCTTGAACAAAACACATCACAAACTGATTAATTTTTTAATAAATGAAAAATAATTGGAAAAAGACAAACCTTATAGACTGAAATAAAACCTATTTATTTCACTTGACAATAGCCGCAGCGTCGGCACCGCAGTTGCGAGCGCGCTTCTTGCGAAGGGCCGCGCGCGAGCGCAGGGACAGCTGGAGCCCACCCCACTGGCGACGAATGACATCCGAGCGAGATAAGAAGCGCGCATTCACGGAGCGCACCAAATTCTTCAGCGCAGCCTCGTCCTCGGCCTTCACATCGATGAACGCCACGCACGTTGCCGTCTTCTGGTTCACCGCCTCACCGAGGCGCGCCTTGTCCTTCACAATCGCGTATGGGATCTTATTCGCACGGCAGAGGTTCGGCATCCACAAAACTAGCTCGATCGGGTCCACGTTGTTCGCAATCACGACCAAACGCGCCTTCTTCTTCTCGACCACACGAGTCACCTCCTGAAGGCCGGTCACGACGGCGAGGGGGGCCTTGGTCGACACCGTCTTCTTCGGGTTCTGCTTCTTGTCCTCGGCGACCTTGCGCAGGCGCTCGTTCCGGGCCTTGCGGGTTTCCGGCGCGTACTTCTTCACCAACTTCAGCAGCTCATTGCGGCTCGTGCGGTCGAGCACCTTCGTGAATTGGTTCAGCGCCGGCGGGACCTTCAGGCGTCGCTGAAGCACGCGCTTCTTCCGCTGCATCGTCACGAAGGTCGGCCAGCGCATGAAGCGAGACAAGTCGCGTTTGTACGGGACGTCCTGGCCGATGCCGAAGTTCTTGGGCCGGGCCTCAAAGAGGGACACCTTAGAGGGCTTCTTGTACGGCGCCACCCCCTTCGCGGCGGGCTTCGCAGACTTCTTGATCTCCTTTCCGGGCATGTTGCTTTAACTGATATACTGTTGATAAAATAAAGGTAAATAAAATAAATAATCAAAGAAAATTATCACAAGTATACATACACTGCATTCATTTAGTTTTAAAGTAATTAAAAGAAAAAGAAGTCAATAGTGTAATTTTGAAAATATAGATCACATTAACAATTTTTGCGAAATCAAATTTAAAAAAACAAGTTAAACAAGAGAAATGAATTCTTTGTTACACCCTCCCTTACCCTACTCCCTCCCCCCTAGTAGAATCATGCCCATATAGCAGTATGAAAAAGGAAAAAGGAAGATCGTACACGGAAGTAACAGGTTCCTTATTTACCTGTTCGCTTTGGTACTTATCTTCTTTCGAGTAACAACAGAAAAACAAACAATAAGAGCGCCGTTACTTGAAAACCCCAATAACCGCGACATCTAATGGTCACGCTCGCGCATGCAGAGTCAAGACACACAAAAAAAAAATCAACAGCATGGAATCAATCATTTAGAATTCCCACAACGGTTCCCATGAATCGCACTAGACAAGACCACACGATACGTCATGGGAGCAAACATACTGACCGGTGATCGCTGAAACGATTGTCCACTTTCCGCACACACCGCGGTGCCTCCTGTCCCTACTCCTGACTTTGAACTGGTCGAATTGTGATTTCCACCACTAATCCCTAAAACCGCTCCACCAGAAACATCTGATGGTGCCGAAACGGACGAGGAAGATGGTCCAGAAACCCCTACCGCGCTCCCAGCCCCCATTGCCTCCTTTGTGCGATGTACTATAGAGCATCGGGAGCGTACCACATCCTGCTCAATTCGCTTCTGCTCACGCTCCAAAAAGTAGTGAAACATTCGTTTGAAGGCGTTAGTTTGTGTATCATCCTCCTCACCTGGATTACTCTCGTCACCAAAATCAATAGGCAACAACCCAGAAGCTGTAGTGAGGAACTGAGGACCCCGATTAGGCATGGGAAACAAGTTAAACCCCTCATCTTCAGAGTAAAAGTTGTATTTACTCTCCATTGCTTGGCGGTTTCGCTTTTTGAGTTCCGCATCGATGTAAGACTTCTCCTTGCGCTTGCTGGGGTGGAAAAAGAAAAGCTCTTGGGTATTGAGATTCATGAAGCGAATAATCCCCGCGGCAGTCCGATACAACACCCATCCATCCGGTATCGGGTCCACCATCAGCATCCGCTCCACCATACTGAGGAGATCCTCATCCCGGGGCAGACGAATCCCCAGACTGCTTCGAAACTCCTCAATATCGCGCATGGATACGGCGGTTTCGTCGTCTTCGTCTTCATCTTCCTCGTCGATGTCGTCCTCGCCGAGGGGCTCTACCGCCCCAACCGGGCCCATCGGCACGCCGCGAAGGGTGTCCAACAGTGCGTACCGTCGTTCGGCACGCCGACGCTCCTCCAGACGCCATTGCGAGATGAAAAGACGAACCCGAAAAGTCGCGTAGTACAGTCCCAGTGCGGAAAGAAACCCTACCACTGGAAGCCAGGACGGTAGGACACGGGAAAGGGCACGCATCCCACCTCGGAAGCTGTCAGCCGCGTAGAGTTCGTCCTTCCAGTTCACCGTTGGTGTTGGGGTTAAAGAGGGGGGGTGGGATGGGGAAACGGTCAGGTTCCCTGAGGAAGCCACCCTTAGGATATTATCACATCCATCCTCATTGATTAAAAAAGCGCCTCCATCTAAATCATGCCGAGTTGTAGGTAGACTCCTATTTGAACTCATGTGAAGAGCACAACTACGTTACTAGTATTGAAAAAAGCGGTACAGTAACCAAAATGCCTTTTTCCAAGTTTTCAATTATTCAAAGAGATTTTGATCGTACTTGGATACTTCTCAGTTCTCGTTTATATTGATTATATTACTTTCTCAATAAGGGAAAATATGATATTGTTTTTTTTTAGATCCTTCCAATTAAAGAAAGTGTTTAAAAAAAAGAAACCTAAAGGATATCTGCCTATATCACTATTGCGTTCTTTTATGTATCGATTTTATACTAAAAAAAAAGGAATAATTCCCCTGGATTTTCTCCATTAAAACCAACCATGACAGGGATTTTTGACCTGTGCAAAGTACAACAATCCATATTCGTAAATCTACTCATGCGCATAATTTGAGTTTTTTTTTTATATACATTCAACTGTAAGACAATTTACATTTGCATAGTTAAAATGACAATGGGCTCTTTCAGTGAACCCACCTCCAGGGTGGTGAGTAATAAAAAAAAGGAGACAAGTTGAATAAAAAAGTGAGAAACACAAAATACAAAAATACGAAAATGAGTCATTATATTTATAATATTGAAAGAATAATGAACTAAAGTCTTTCAACCCGTTTATCATCGTATATATCGCTTTCATATGTCCTTGGAATTAAAATAACTCCAAAATATGCCTCACTCGTTTAGTACACACAGTTTATTTTGAAGTCTAAAAAGGAAAATCCAGAAACGCAAAGCCAGTAGAAATTAAAAAGAATAAGTGAGGCACATTAAAAACTAGCAGATATAACTCTAATGGGATATAAAGATATGCATACACCTTATATTCCGTTACATTATATAACCGTTATATTGGTTTTATCACTGCATAGAAGCGAACAAAGCTGGATATTATATTTTGATAATGTACTTTTCGTACTCTCGTCGTAGTAATGGAAAAAATACAAGAAAGGGCATAACGCCATAAATTATGATATTCATTCGATAAGGACATACCGTCCAAGAGTTCCAACAGAAGTGGGTTTTTGATTTGATTTATCCTGTTTGTGGATTGAACAACTTTGTTCACTAAAGATGTCTGGTTTATCTTGTCTATTATCCTTACCAGAAAGTGACAATAGTGGTGTGTGAGCTTCATATATAATGCAAAGTGGTGCTTCCCCGATGCGGTGAAAAGAAGGAATGGCAGAATTATCCTCTATAGTGCAATCAAGAAAATTAAATTGAATGGTTAGAATAGGTATGGGTAGTTGAGATACCTTATAATGTATAAAGGTTCTTTTTTCCGTTGACAAAGAAACTGGTGAGTGCGCTGTTTTAACAGTACTATCAGTAATATCGTCACCATTCTGAGTAAGAAAGACGCTTTTGATCTCATCCGTAGGTTCAGTTTCTGTAAGCATATTCTGCTCCTTCGAATTACTGGCAAATAGCCTCAAATAGGACTGCAAATTAGCTGGTTTTGTGGTAGCGTTCCACAAGAACTCGCATGGCTTATGATCAAAAAACCTTACCTTCATGATATATGGCTCAGCGTTCCACATCATTGAGGCCAGTAATGGGGTTTTCCCCTCCTCTACCACTCCAATCTCTGACGTTTTGGTAATATCAAGATGTTGTTGTGTAGCATCCGCGCATGTCCAATTAAAAGTGTGAAACTCACTAACTCCATTATCAAGGTCCTTTTTCACGCACATGGATCGCATGGCAATCACAATTTCATCACCCCCTGTCATAGATAGTGCATTCACGACAGGAACAGCGTATAGTATTTGTGATGTTCCCTTGCTAAGCAACGTCTCACGATCCTTCCATGGCTGTTTGAAAGCAAACGGCAGAGCCCAACCTGTTATAGCGTGGATTTCCTCCATAACACAGGCAGAAAGTGAAGCGCCCTCCAAGACCACATCGCATGGTGCTAAAAACCGGCGTTGGGTTACGATCAGTACGAGCTCCGATAGATGTCCAAAATTCCATCCATGTTGAGAAACAGGAGCTAAAGAAAGAAGACTCCTCGTCAAATTCCAAAGCACCACTAACGAATGCCTCAGTGAAGGTAGCCACACCTGTACATTTCCCCCCGGTAAGTATGACGAAGAATAAATGGGTGACGTCAATGATGATGGCAGGTCTAACTCGGTGACAAACGCTAACGAACGAATAGTATTTAGGACCCTTGCTATGGTTAGGCTGTAATGACGCTGTGATAGTCTTGGCTTTTTTTCCCGTAATCTATTGTAAAGCTGAGATAAGTGCGCGTACTCCAAATTCAAGGGTGCCAAGTCCTTCAGCAATTCCTCTCGACAGGATAGCTGAAGCGCTAAGCTGAGCTCAGGAAAGACCGCGTTCATGTTGTTGTCCGCAATTCCTCGAGGAGCTTCACTATGATGTTGGCGTCGCAACGATACCGTAGAGAAGAGCAATCGGAATACCCGTTCCTGGACCCTTGCACGGTACGCGACCACTGCATTGGTATCGCCACAAAGCCTCAGCAAGTCTGAGGAAGACCGTTTGACATCCTCTATCATTCGAAATGCATCAGATGCGTTTAGTACAAACGAGCATGGAGAGTCCAACCATGGCCATCCATAAGTCACCGTCGGTTCAGCGTCTGCGACCCCTTCGTAGTTGGATGGTAGAACAATCATCACCTTCAACAACAGCTTTAGTGTTTCATGGTCATTAACATTCACATTGGCACCATCCTCCTCGGTTAGTATGGTGTACAATTGGTAAACTAATTTTTGGATCCACGTAAAGTCAATCGAGTTTGTATCCAATATTTGTGATAAATTGAAGGGCTCAAATGTTGTAGAATGTAAGGATGGCTTATGTTTGCTGCTTTCTATAATTTGGTTGTCTGTGCCTTGGCTCATGGACTTCGACATAGTAGTGAAGTCAAGCTGTACACGAGCAATTTCTTGATGAAGTTGTTGCCACGCTCGACGCTGATTACGGTAGTAATAATGCGCTCTAAGGCCCTTGGAAGTACTTGCAGTAGGAATGAGCGACATTATGGGACCGGAATCTCTTTCTGAAGCAACCTCTGTAAATTCACAATTCGACTTCCTCCATGTCCAATCGTCATTCCAAATCCTCTGTATAAGCTGAATAAGAAATCTCAGAATATGGTCACTACATATCACTGCATCATCGTTGAAATATAGATCAGCGCAATGTTCATCATCAAAATATGTCTCGAGATGAATACGCTTAAAGTCATTTAACAAGCGACGACGCGCAGAAATACTAATATGCACGAACCATAGCTCCTTTATTAGAATTCTCCACATGGGAGAGACAGCGCCTCTCACCGGCACGTTCTGAGTTCCTCTGAAAAACTTCCCACTCGCTCTCCGATCGGTGAAAAAAACTCCTGTACCTGACCCCTGTGCTGTCATCACCCTACTGGAGTCTGGTGACATGGTAAATATTTCTTTCGATTGAAGCGGAGAATCAGATGGCAAAAGCCTCTCTAAATCCTGGTTACTTTGTTGTGCCAGCATGTCTTGAAACGTTTTATCCTCTAAGAGATGCAATAAGTGCCTTTGAGGTGTGGTGAGCTCGTCAGAAATATACAAACAACGCCCTGGTCGAAACTCGTGTGCACCCTTCCATAATAAGTGATGAGATTCAGGGGTACACACCAGTACAAACCTCATCAAAATTCGATTTGAAAAGCTCTCATTATCTCCCTCTACTAGAAAATTCGAACCGATGTAAGTTGAAATAATCTTATGAATACTTTCAACTAGACATTTACCGTAATTTATATTCGTATTTTCACTAATTGCTTTTTTTGTTTTGGGTGATGATAAGTCCACAAAAAGTCCAAACCAAAAGCCCTTGAAGTTGTCTCTCATGTGCGGCTTAAGTAAGCAGTTCACAATACGTATTGCTAGCATATTGGTTTCCACGTTAAGGCCTATCACTTCATGTTGTTCGTACACCCAGTTTCCCAAGTCTGCTTCATGCTGAATGTCATATAACGTCGCATAAGGGTTGCGACTCACCATATACAACGGTAGGCAGTGCTTTGCGTTCTGCTCCCAGAGTTGCTCTCGCATATAAAGACGGATAAGAGGAAAATTACAGCTAACTGTAGAGAGTTGTGAATGAGAAAAGCTAGAGGCAGAACTTGTGCAATCGACCAGCGAGTTATTGTTGCTGGTCAGAACCATCTCTTGGACTGTCGAATAGGTCATTTCTGACACCTTATGACTGCTTTGTCTATGAGGTGCGGCAAATTTTAGGTTGTTGCCTTTAAGCGCGTCAAGTGTACTGGCGTACAGACGAAGTGCAATATCTTCACAACGTGGAAAATCATTACGAAGGAGAAATTGAAAAAAATTGGGCACCAGAGATGAAAAATCAGACTGAGATGAGCTTGTACTATTTTCAATGTTGTCTAGATTTTTGGAGACGATTCGCTTCAGAACTGTATCCCCTGAGTCTAAGTACACCTGTGAAATTAGCCTTTTGATGCCTTCTGTACCCGTTTTCTCAGTATTCTCACAATCTTTGGGGAGATCACAGGACGACAATGGAAAATCGACGATGTTATATTTACTATCTTTTCCAAAGATAGATAACAATGCATTGTACTGTGCCAGATTGAGAATTTCAAGGGTGGGAAATACAGCCCCCAAATATGAGCTAATACTACCGCTTGCAAGCAATGCACCATGTAAAATGAGCACAGAAAAAAATCCACGGACAGATAGTGGCCAACCACATGAAAAGCATGAAACAATATTATCAACAAAATTTACAACAGCATAAAACTGCTTTTGTGCTAGTGTGTGATCTTTAAATCGTAGAGACGCGAAACTAGTGCCAACATTTGGAACTGTAGAAGTCGCAGAGCTTAAAAAGGGGTCGATTACGCGATCATCCCACGATCGGCCAAGCTTATCGGCTTCTATAAACCGCAACAACTCTGCACACTGCTTCAATGAAGTTTCAATGGGAGGCCAAGCCTCTGCTATCTGTTTGTGGATCATCTGCAACTGGACCTTTAGAGTGGCAATCTGTCCATCATGTGCATTTGCATCCTTCAGAATTTCATCGAGTATTTCAAGCTCATGCTTCTCACAATTCGAAATATGCTCCAAGTCACCGCTGAGTAATTTACTAGAATGGTCATGCTTTCCGATAAAAGAAGTTACCTCAGAAAAGATACGCCGCCTTAGTTTATGCAACCCCTCTTTAACATTCCTCAGCGTACCTCGGGAATGGAGAAGACCGTACCAGATGCGAACGCTGAGTGGAATAGGCTCAAAGAAGTTAGTGAGACTCACGTAGCTGAAAATAGTTGTACATAAACTCTCACGAGCATAAAAAGGTCTGACCAAGGCAAAGGAAACACAAATCAAATTGAACTTGGGATGTACCACAATATTTTGACCAAACACGTAAAATGGAATCCCTTTTTCGCCCTTTGTAGTGCCGTTACCAGCACAACCTTTCATATGAACACCCGGACGACAATTCTCCCACTCGATGTCAAGTTTTCCAAAGAGTGGAAAAAGAGCAACAATAAGCTCTGTTGACATTGGGTCGGTCTCCAAGTTGTACAAAAGAACTCCGCTTCCAGATTGCATAGCCTGTATAAGACTTTTCTTAGCATTATTATCGTGTACTGATACCACCATGCATCCGTTGCAGGTGTATAAGAGATATTCTTTGAGAATCTCATTAAAAAATTCACATACACCACCAAAAAGCTGCCATCGGCGAACAATATGCTGGTGGAGGTTATACAACGCACAACGATGACGAAATGGTAAAGCAGGTGAAATAAGTAAATCAATTAAGCTGCCGTGATTGCGAAACAAAAGCTCCCTTGCCGGCACTTCTGGGCCTTCTGTAAAGGGAACGCCGTGATCATGAAGAATATTTTGGAAATTCTTGTAAAGTGCATCGTTGGGATAATGCATGGATAATAAAGAATTGTACGCAGCCATCAGTAGTGTGTCGCCTTGTGCACAGTTAGCACGCCGGACTTGCTCATCAATGTCTTCTACAGGTGCTGCAAAACGCGTAAAGGAATCTATGCTGTTGAGGTACACAAACAGTCTTTTCCCTCGCTCAACGGACAAACGTTGTCTCTCTTGTACTTCACAACACTTTCTCTCTAACTCCTTAATGTCTTCTTTAATTGTGCATATTTCTTCAGATATCGTATAAACACGACAGGTACATTGTTTCAAGCGATTCTCAGCGTCTTGGTTTAATTCCTTTTGAACAGAATATGTATTATTATCGTCAATCTTAGCTTGCTGAACACGCAGTTTTTTTATGAATGCTAAAATATAATCCACTATTAACTGAGCGCATACACTCGATTTTCCGAAATCAGTTTTTTTGAGATCCCTTTCCAGTAATAGAAGAGTGGGAGGATCCACAACATTTTCTGTAGAAGCTGCAATAATAGATTGAACAAACCCAGGTGCACACATCCGTCGTATCCCTGCTGCCCATAACTCATTGGGGTGCTTAATTGACCTTGGAATTTCTTCGCCAAGAACACAATACACAGCACGGATGAGGAGAATGAGTTTCTTGGAGCTTAAAGATTTACTTAGTAGTTGAATCGCAGGAGGCTTAACCTTTTTTAATGGAACAGCAGCCTCACAGACCATTTCTTTGGCCTTGGCTAGCAATGTATTCTGAGCAGACTCATATTTGGAAAGCTCTAAAGCGCCTTCTTCCACATCCTTCTGTGCCTTTTGGAAATCCGCTCTGTAATGTTCCAAATGCATGTTTTGTTCTTCCAGCCTCTTTGTAAGCTCTACAATATCCTCTCGAAGCCTGTCAAGTTCCTCAGTTGCCTGAGTTGAGAGCTGAGCATTATTCTTGATCAATTTTGTAACTACATCACCACGATCAACTAATACCGTTGCAATTAAAGCATTATCTTTCATCTTTTCTGCGCACATTCTCTCAATATATATAACAAGGGAGGCAAAATCTGAAATGCATTCTTCACGAATGTCTGGAAAAAATTCCTGTGAGGCTTCGTAAAAGGAGTATACTAAATCCGCTAGCTCTTGAGATCCACAATTGTAATAATTGAATTCGGTGCTGTTATGGCTTTTGTTTCGCCTGGAAATAATACTGTATACTATTCCACGCTGCATAGAAACTACCCCTTCGATGTCCAACCCTCGAAGTATGCGTATATGAGCAAAGCAGCGGTAACGCCCTGATTCTAAGGAATTGTTCAAATTATTTTCATCATATATCTGTAAAATAAAGATGAAGCACTGACGGATATAAGCGTATAGAGTTTCTTCTTCGCTGGGAGACAACACGCCCATGATATGGCGTGAGGTCAACTGGTTCGGATGGAAAGTGGAACTCCCGTGAACTAAACACCAGAGTTCCTCTCGAGAAAAAATTTCACTAAGGTCACCCACAGAAATCAAAAGATCAATCTGCCGCATTACAAGCGGGATACTTAAGACACTATTTGGAATCACAACCACCATGCGCACATTATTTGCATAAACGTAGTTAACAAGGGTCTTCATATCAGTTGCAAATGAGTTGAAGTCGTATTTTGCCTCCTTGCCGGTATAATAATAACCGCGGTAAGGCCGGATTAAAGCTACAGGAAATCGAGTCGCAACAACTACTATAAAAGTAAGGGAAACTATTTCAAAGATTGATTTGCACAGAATTACTATATGAAGAGGTGAACCCATGTGTTTTACAGTTTGCACAATCTCAAACGCATTTTCTGTAATACACTTCGATTGAGTTACTATGGAAGCAATGGTATCTACTCGATCAGCGACTATGAAAGTAGTTGCTTCGAATTTCCATTTATCCACTGACGAAAAACATGTCTGCTCATCAGAGCGTGATGTGCCTTTGATGTGTTTAATTTGTCGTTGAGACAACTCCCAAAGAGATGGAGATACCAAAGACGAATTTTGACTGAGACTGGCTACTGAAAAGGAGTTAGGAGTTGTCACACATATCGAAAGTTGACCTCTGTCGCAGTATAAATCCGTGCTTATGTCAACGTTCTTGTTTTCAAATGAATGATTTGACGCATAAGGATTCATTTCAGCTAATGGTTGAATACCTGTTTCGCTTAGGCATGTATGAATTCCTTCAAACCATTTCAAGACACACATTTGCCTATTGGAGGAACTATAGAGCTCATCACATCTCTCCTGTTTTATTGCTGCTAAAAACTTGCTATCACCCAGGCACTTCCCAAGGGTAGCCTGTGCACAGTCCAAAATATCTTCCCATAAATTTTCCCTGTTTGCGTCGGCTGCATAGTGCCCCACGTATAGGCTCTCCACTCCGACGAACAGATTAACCGCTACTTGGAGGTCAGAAATACCGCTGCTGAGCTGTCGACGAGCAATTTCGACGCCATGCAAAGCAAGACCAAAACGTTGTGGTAGAATACTCTCGGCCTCCACAATTTTCGCCTCGAGTTGTGAGGAAATAGTATCATTCAGTGACAACCCTCTCCCCATAGAAACCCATGGAACTGATGCTGTGTGAAAAATATCGTTACCACCACGAAGTCCCGAACCAATGACACTATTTCCCGCTATAGCACGTTCAACGGCTCTATAGGCCAGAATGACAAATGAAGTGCACTCACGAGGAAATGCATCCGTGCGCCTTTTCCCGCATGTAGCCTCTAGCAGCTTCCAAATACCATTCACAAGTTCGGAACCCTGCATGCGGGGCAAGTACACATTTATGAATGCACATTGCACACTTGGAATACGTAAGCCCCCTAAAGTTGTGCCGACATAAACCAGATCTGTTGTTGGTATGAAACCAAGAGTTGGGGTGCTGATAGCGGAATACTTCTCGTAAAAAAGCACCAAGCTTGAAGCAATCGGAACATTAGCATGGGTCGATGACGATAAATGCATGTCATCTATACAAACAACGAGTTTGGAGCCTAAGGGAGGCCCGAAGGTTGAAGTACTTCTCGGTAAAAGCTGTGAAGCCAATTGATTCTGAGTTCTAATCGGACTGAAATCTTTACTGCAATTTACAAAGTGCTGAATCCATCGTTCGCATAGACGAGTACTCTTTAGTAAAGATGACTTCCCGCTTCCGCAAGAACCGAGGATCGAGACATGTTGGCCGCAATTGATAAGACATTCTATTACACGTAAGGTAGAAAGGCGCGACGGTGTAGGAAATCGTTGTGACGATGCCTCCGATTGTGGATCAATTTTTGCATATTCAGACCACGAAAGGTCATTAATATGAGAAATAGCCTCACTTAGCAGCTTCCATCCGCTCCGTGTTACTACGAAGTCTAGCATATTTTCGTTTTCTTCAAGAGGGGGAAGTATTTTATCCATTGAATTATAATTCTCCATGAATTCATTAAGACTATCTTCGACTCCGAGTAAAGCCTTTTTCATGTGATCAAGCTGATAAGGATCTAAGGCCAAACCCATGCTCCAACAAATTGCCTGAACAACACACCGAGCTGCGAATACATGCGTATTTAGTTGAAGGTCTGCAACTTCTTCCCTCACGAAGGAAGTTGGTGAACAATATGGTTGCGCAATATAATTGTACCACCTAAAATACAAATTGATGCATTGCTTGCAAATAGCATAGAACCCTAAATTGGTATTGAGCACATCTTCATGAATTTTATTGCAATCACCATGTTCAACTGCTGTCCAGACGACTGGAAGAACCATTTCCATCACACTAGTGGCCACATCACAACCGGGAGCATTATGCAAACGATCGCGCAGAAAGCTTCTCCAGTCTGAAGGAGCGGGCAGTGAAAATATTGCAAAGTCACAAATTACATGCGGATCGGTATGCTGTAAAGTGTTTGTACACACTATCATATAAGACGAAGGAGTTAACGTAAAGCTAGTCTTCCGTGGCCCAAGTACACGTCCATAAAGACTCAAATTTATCCAAGATGTAGCGCACAAAAAGGTCTCATCCTCAATAATAACAAAGTGACGCTCTAATGGAGTCGCTGCAACCCCTGCCAACACTTTCAATATACCCTCCACAGCATTGTGCTCGTAAAATTCATGCGCAGTCATGAGAGAAGTGCATAGAACAACATGTTTGTCTTTTCCAACAAAATCCCTCCAAAGCTTTGCTTTGCCAGAAAAGTGTGGTCCAGAAATCATAACTTGATGGCAGAAGGATATTGTCTCAGCAAATTCAGATTTCACATTTCTTTTTGAAAGGAGCAAAGTAGAGAGAGTACGCCTTAAGTTGCTAACGGGAAGACCTAATGTGTGCTTTACATAAAACTCTAATAAGGCTTTTAGCTGCTTGCTTTCGGTTAGTACGGATGCAAAAATGCACGTAAATGCCTCGAAGAGGCAGTCTGTAGCGTGCCCCTCGTTGCACAAACCACTTTTTGTTGCGTACTGTAACACTGCGAGCAGTTTAGGATAAGTAAATACAGAAGGAAAAATCTCTTGTAGGTGCTCGTACATGACTGCAAACTTTGGGCTAGCAGTCTGACTTTCATCGGTGATCCCATAAGCATCGAGATAAACACAGATTACATCAACTAACTTCATGCGTGGCAGATAGATCGGGCGATATTCTTGGGAAAACTCACGCGTGATTTTGTGAAGAGGCTCGCTCGCGGTGATAACCCCCATAAAATTCGGATGGACAGATGCTTTTGTGAACTCACTATGCGTTTCTAGTGCCAGTCCTGTGACAAAATTTATCGAAGCGCATGCAAGATTTCCATTCTGAATCCTACGAAAACATTCCGTTAAAAAAAACTGAATTTCAACATCAAGCTTTCTGTACTCACTCACACAAAAAAATGCACCTGTTCCCAACGCCCCACGAAGATATGAACGCATAGTATCCAAAGTGGTCGTTTGACTACAACTCACAGTGATGAAAAAGAGACCGCAAGAATGGCACAATGACTGCAATAACATCTGTGTATCTCGGGTATGATTTAAAAGTGGGATAGATCGTCCACCAACAGTAAGGGAAAGAATACTAATGGCCTTCTCAAGCATTTGTGGAATAAAAAAAGGTTCCCGATCGTTTCCGAAGAACTCAAGTCCGTACGGAATAACTATTCCCATCACTCGTGTGACAATAGCAAACTCGGTTATAAACGTTTGGAACATTGGAGTAGAATCCAAGTCCGAAATACTCCCTATACCGATGCTTAGTGCATGATCTATCTCAGTACCAGCAAATTGCAAATATGAGAGAGCTGAAAGAACAACTTGCTGTCCATCAGATTGTGGACCCAACGTTAGCGCGATTCTTTGAATTTCTGTGGTTATATTGTGTATTTTCGTCTTATGGGCCTTTAGACCAAGAACTCCACGGTTTTTGATAGCCTCACGGATCCCAAGTGTGTGAACCGATCTTAACGACATTACAATAAATTGAGTACACCAGCTTGTTAGCCAAGTTTTCATTTCCGTTNC